TGTATGCTTGCTTTCTTCCCTCTCTCTCTCTTTTTCTCCTCTCTTTTCCCTTCTCTCTCCCTTCTCTCTCTCTCTGTCTCTTCTCTTTCTCTTTTCCCTTTGTCTTTTTCCCTCTCTTTGTTTTCTTTTTCTTTCTAGTCGTCTGCCCTTGTAGTTGAGGCTCTCACTTCCCTTCTCTCTTCCTGTCTCTGTTCATTTGGATTTGCTCTCTTTCTCCCCTGTGTGTCTCTCTCTTGTCCTCTGTTTTTGTACCCTCCCTCACCCCAGCCTGTCCTCCTTGTTTCGCAAGGATCCTACCTACCTCGCTAGAGCGGAGGAGGATGGGCGTTCTCTTTCCCGCCCTTCTTCTTCTCCCTCCTTACAGCCGCCATGATCAACGGCGTTCTCTTTCCCGCCCTTTCTTCTCCCCCTCTTTCCAGCCATGATCAACGGCGAAACATGCCAAGCGTTTCTTCCATTCAGCCCTTTCTCTTCCCGGCCAAGCGTCTCTGTGCCGTCATAGAGAAGTCAGCAAAGTCGAAGGGGTGTCATAACGTCTTCATCCACTTGTCCCTCTCTTGTTCCTCTCTTGTCCCTCTCTTGTCCCTCTCTTGTCCATTCTCGCGAAACTTTCATACGATCAGTAGCCAGTCTAGTTCCACTCCATTTGCTTCTCGTCCCTCCTCTCTCGTCGTCTCAGTTTCTGTGGTTCCTCTCCCCCTTCGCCCTCGAATATAGAAGCTGCACTCGGTCAATCTGCCTCCTCTTCCTTCTCTTCCTTGTCGTCCTTGTCTGCCTCCTCGTCCTCCTCTTCGTCCTCTTCCTGCTCTTCCTTTTCTTCCTTCTCTTCCTTCTCTGCCATTACCTCTTCCTCGTTTTGCTCGTTTTCCTCCTCTTCCCCTCTCTTCCTCCTCTTGTTCCTACATCTCTTCTTCCATGTCCTCCTCTTCTTCGTGCACCTCTTCCTCTTAATCCTCTTCATCCTCTTCCCCTTCCCCCTGCTCCTCTTTCCCTCCTCCCTCCTCCTCTTTCTCCACCTCCCTCCTCCTCCCTCTTCCTCCTCCTCCTACATCTCCTTCTATTCCTCCCTCCTCTTTCTCCTCCTCCCTCCTCCCTCCTCTTTCTCCTCCTCCCTCCTCCTCCCTCCTCCTCCCTCTTCCTCCTCCTCCTCCTACATCTCCTTCGATTCCTCCCTCCTCATACATCTTCTCCTCCCTCCTCTCCTCGTCTTGCTCTTCTTCCTCTTCCTCTTCCTCCTCTTCCTCCTCTTCCTCCTCCTCTTCCTCCTCTTCCTCCTCCTCTTTTTCCTTTCTCCTTCATTGTCGCGCTATGCTCGGCGCGTTCTCGAAAAGCCAACAGTTGTCGTCATTCTTTTCTACCCCTTTGCCTTCGACAGACACTCCATATCTGTTCACACGTCCTTGCAAGCTCTGGGCAAGGTTAGAGCGATGGCGGCCTTCTTTCACCATCGTCTTTCCCTTTCTACATACAGCCTCCATAGATGTAGGTCTCCAAGGTATACAAATTACTTATGTTTTTTTTCAAATTTGGCGTGCCAGTGGTATTACTAGCGAACTGCATCTCTATACTAGTGCAATTGGTGGTTTGGTAATGGCTGGGCTTATGCTATTCGCTGGTTGATTCCATTATCATAAAGCTGCACCAAAATGTGTTGACACATCTCCGCTCTCTCCGACCAGCTTCCCCTCCCCTCCGCATAACGCGCAAGGTCTGTAATGCCAGCTATGGCGATAATGCTGACGCAAAAGCATCGTTCTTCCTCTTTATTCTGCCTCCGATTTCATAGCGCTCTCCTCTCTCCTCCTCTCCTCTTCTCCTTTCCTCCTCTCTCCTCCTCCCTCCTCCTCTCTCCTCCTCTCTCCTCCTCTCTTCTCCTCTCGGTCTGTCTCCTCCTCTACTCCTCTCTCCTCCTCCTCCGTTCTCTCTCTCTCTGTATTTCCATCTTCTCAAGGCCATTAGAGGGAAAGTCACATTTTAGACTTTGTCATTACCGTTTCTCCCACCCCTTACGTTGTTTATCTTTTATCTATATATCTGTATATTTTATATATCTATATATCTACCTGGATGCTTATGCAGCTTATCCACATATATTTTTAGCTATCTCTCAGATGAGAACTGTGTATTCAGTGAATTTTCGCATGGCGCTAAGGTGAGCATCGTCTCCATATCTGCCCTCAGTGAATCGGGTCGCAACAACGGCACAGATTCAGTGCCGAAACTCCTAATCTGAGTTCTATTGTCTCAAGTTTGTTCAGCGTAAAAGAATCGGACATGTTGCCGTTAGCGTGAAAGACGAACTTCTTGCATGAATCTGGACGTTGTTACGGTTTGATGCATTAAGGGAAGAAGACAATGGATTGGGAACAGACATCGGCATTTTCCCAGCTGGCATGCCGATGCATGTTCCCAATGACC